AAACTGCATAAACACATTGCATTACACCAAATACACAACATAATGTTCTTTTTAGCAACGTCATATGACTCCTTTAAATTCCTCACTAATTACTTGGCTGTAATTTGTGTTGCCAAGTGTTTCATCTATATAATAATAATAATAATAATATGCTAATTAGTATTGTCACCTACGTTATGGCAGTAGTATGCGGTGTTCTTCGTGTCAATAGCTCTGTCTGTCTGGATTGAAGAAATTATCAACATCTTCAATTAAAAAATCAGATCAGAAAAATCAGTCTCTTGCCCCCTCAAGGCGTTTCAGAAGATGCTAGGTCTTATGACCTCCGCGTCTCTAGTACTACAGCTGGGCCTGCTCCGAATGCGGCACTTTCAGTACTGGCTGAAACTGCTAGTTCCGTCCCACGCCTGGCGTTGCGGACGCCTTCATATCAAGGTGAACCAGGCCTATGTGGCAGCTCTGGCCCCTTGGAAAGACTCTCATTGGATGGAACTGGGTGTGACCCTGGGAGTGGTCTGCTGAAGGAAGGGAGTTCTTTGGCAAGGCAGAGGTCAACCTCTTTGCCTCAAAAGACAACTCTCATTGCCCAACTTTTTTTTTCGAAGAACACGGACGCGTTGGCCCAACTCCCCTGAGGCCTCCTCTCTCAGGCGAACAGAACGATTTGGCACCCCCAGCCTGAGCTGTGGGCCCTGCACGTCTGGCCTCTCGATGGGAACCTGAGGATTTTCCAGAGAGTGTTTTAAATACAATATCTCAGGCTAGAGCACCGTCCACGAGACGCCTCTATGCCCTTAAAAGGTCGGTCTTCTCCACCTGGTGCACGACCCGCAGCGAAGACCCAGCTTAATGCGACATATCTCTGATATTGTCCTTCCTGCAAGAGCTGTTGGACAAGGGCCATTCCTCTTCCACACTCAAGGTCTATGTAGCAGCTATAGCAGCCTATCACGCTCCTATAGCAGGCCAATCGGTGGGCAGGAACAACCTGGTTGTTCGCTTTTTGAAGGGGTCTAGGAGGCTTATCCCGCCTCGCCCCGCCACAGTCCCTACATGGGATTTGTTCATGATGCTGAGGGCTCTAAGGAGCCCTCCCTTTGAGCCAGCTACAATCCATTGACCTTTGTCCCCTGATGCTAAAAACCATTCTGCTACTGGCGTTAGCATCGGTAAAGCGGATGGAAGTTCTACAGGCGCTCTCTGTGAGCCCCTCTTGCCTGGAATTCGGGCCCAATGATTCTAAGGTCGTCCTGAAACAAAGGCTCGGGTACATACCTATGGTGCTCTCCACTCAGTTCAGAGCACAGGTGAGCATGTCGTGCTGTGTGAAGTACAGACTGAACTGATTGTCAACACATCCCATCGCTGTATGGCCAGATGAGACGCAAACTACGTTTTCTCGACTGGATAACCAGTCTCGCTAGTAAAGTTTTGATGGATGAAGACTGCAATCAAGGTACAGACAATTGCGGTGGAGTACAGGAGTCGTACAGCAAGCACGCGTGAGTCCGTTAAAATAATGCGTGTATAAGTGCTCTTGACGCACTGATCGCACATCGTATTTATGCACAGGTACAAACATTTCTGTACATTCACGTTGTTTCCACACACATTCACGATAATGTTTTGATTTGTCTTGTGTTTAGTTATTCTGAATGGATCCGTGTACTGTAGTAGATATATGCAGTCAGCAGGCAGTTGGTCTAGGTTTTTTTTTGGCATCTCCATGTGGTCCTGCTCGGTATCGCACCTTGACTTCTCTAAAATGTAAAAAAGCTCTTTGCTGTTGCACTGTACATATACTATACAATTCTGATCTTTTTTTTTAGCATGTTGTTTCTTTCATATGTGCTTATATGGGCTCCTTATATCATTTGGTTATTTGGTGTCCTTTTGGAGTTTCTAAGTGTCCTTTTTTGAAAAGACATCTAAATTTCTCTTGAAAAAATCTTGCAGAAAATACAGATTTTTGAGAATCAACCTTCAATCTTTTGGTTTACTTTGCTGGATATAGCAAATGATGACAAAATAAACATTTGAAACAAGATAAATGATCTATGCTTAATTTCATGACGTGTGCGATTAATCATGATTAATCACAGAAAAAAGGGTGTGATTAAAAATGTTAATCTATTGACAGCCCTACTTTACATGCTTTGGTGGCCGGACCAGAGGGTTTCGTCACCAAGCAGAGACTCTTCAAATGGCTAGTTGACGCTATTGCACTAGCTTACTCCTCTTTGGGCCTACACTGCCCCATGGGAGTAAGAGCCCATTCGACTAGAGGCATGGCCTCATCTTGGGCTTGGTCTAGCGGTGTGTCCATTGCAGAAATCTGTGCGGCAGCCGGCTGGACCTCGCTGTCCACATTTGCCAGGATCTATAATCTGGACGTCCCAACTTTACAGGCCCATGTATAAGTGAAATAACTGTACTCACTTTTTTATCACTGAGAATGATTCCATTATGTCAGCCCAGAAAGACAGGAACTCATCCTTAGGTAATTTCGGCAGGCAAAGGGCAGTGCAGAGACGAGAAAGAATCCCGTTGTCTAATTCTAGATGATACTGTTTCCACACATAGAGCATAATAAGAGCAGCCTTCAGTGGCTCCTTGATGAAAGTACTCCTTTCTTTGCTGTCTTTCTGTAACTCTGGAGTCACCTGCTGAAGCATGAACTGCTTCAGAAGCTTGCTCACCTGACAAATGAAAATGAGACTATATGTTAAATTTCATGTTGACATTTGCATTTGAGTGCATCTTAAAGGCATAGTTCACCAAAAAGTGAAAGCTTTGTTATAAGTGGTTTATTCCAAACTCATACCGTATGACCTCCTTTCTTCAGTGTAACACAAAATGACTAATATTGATGAAGTACATAATATTTTACACAGGTTTCTGCAGTTTTTAAAAATTAGACCTTTTTTAAGACCTGCACTAAATAAATAAATAAATCCTGTATGTCCATACAGAACAAACCCATACAATTTCAAAATAAATCATGTATCCCAGATACTTTTACTTAATTAAATAGGCTGGGGCACACATTTAACTGCCAAACAGGGCAACCGCTAATTTAAAATACTCAAGACAGGTTTATTCAATATATACACATACACTGAAATTTCTTTATTCCAACAATTCTAGTGTCAACTATATATTGAATGTTTTAAATAATGTTCTTAGTCTTTCCTTCCTGAGCCGGGATGGCCTAGAGAAAAGCCTTAAAAGTTTACATTTAATTAGTGTCCAGATACAGTTTGTGTAACCAAAATAGCAACAATATCCAAAAACAAAAAACAAAATAAAACAAAAAAAGAAAAGCAGAATGTGGGACTTTTAATTATAAACAACCCCAAAATATACCAGAACTCTTATTTTGAACCATCTATGCTTTACTACTTCCAGCTGCTCATTCAAAATATGAGTGAGAGAAATCTACAACATATTACAATATAAAATCCATAAAGTAAACATTAACATAGCAGTAGATCATAAGCAATCATTTGTCATTAATGTATTCAATGATTGCAAACTGCTCTGAAACAACAAGCCTGTAGACGCAGAAGTGCTGTTTTTACTTTGAAATGTGCAGCACTCACGTTTGTTTAAAGCTGCAGTCCGTAACTTTTTTGTGTTCAAAATTTACAAAATTTATATAATAAGCGAGTACACCATGAATCCATTTTCCAAACCGTGTTTTTGGCTTGTCCTGAATCACTACGGTACACCTATAATAAGTGTTTATATTCGGACTATTTAGACTGGTTCGGGTAGGTACCGCTGCGGAGTAGCCCAGTACCTGCGTGATTCGCCATAGACATAAACAGAGAGAAGAAGCTACAATGTTCTTCCGCAAGACGCATGCAGTTCTGTTTATTAACCGCTAGAGCGCCAAAAGTTATGGACTGCAGCTTTAAATTCACTTATAACCTTTTGATATTTAATAATCACACTAGGCCATATCGTAATTTCTGGTTTTTAGTCCCCGAATTTAGGACCCCTTAAAATGATAATTAAGAGTTTTAAAGGACCCGCAGAAACCTCTTTATGCATTTTTGTCTTTTCTGAAGCTTGAAAACCCCAGTCCCCATTATGGAAAACAGCATTCTGCATATTCTGCAGTATTGCTTCATTTGTGCTCCATGGAAGACAGTCATACAATTTTGGAATGACGTGAGTACAGCAATAATTACGATTTTCATTCTTGGGTGAACAAATGTTATCATGTATGAATGTGTTCAGTATATGCTGAGATCCAAATGGTTTACTCACATCTTTTTCATCGTAATTGAGTGAGTACCACTTCATTTCTGTCTTTTCAAATACAAAAGGGTTTCCATAAACTTCATAAAATTGTCGCAGCTGACTAAAGAAGCTGTAGAGGTTAATTTTGCCCCAGTTTCTCAGGAGGTCAAAAATAGTTTCCAGCATGACTATACCAGCGATTTCTCTCCCCTGAATTACATCTTTCCTCTGATCAGGCCAAAAAGCATCTTTGAGCCGTTTCAACATATTCTTAGAAGGTTCTACACAGATGATATCGTCATACTGATGCCATTCTCCTGCAATATACCAAAAGAACAAATTAAGTCTGTTAACACACACACATACAGCGTCTTCACAACATGGCGGCGGCGATGCCAGCAATAATAAAGTTACACCTTTTTCTTTACATGAACATTTGGGCGGCGTTATGCAAATCTTCCCACATCGTGACGTAGACATGTGGGGGCGTGTTTAAACGAGGCGTTTTAGGAGGGCGTGGACCAGTCTTAAAGGAACACTCCACTATTTTGGAAAATAGGCTCATTTTCCAACTCCCCTAGAGTTAAACAGTTGAATTTTACCATTTTCGAATCCATTCAGCCGATCGCCGGGTCTGGCGGTAGCACTTTTAGCTGTAGCTTAGCATAGATCATTGAATCTGATTAGACCGTTAGCATCTCGCTACACACCACACACACACACACACACATACATATACATATATATATTAGGGCTGGTAAGCGATTACAATTTTTTATCTAATTAATTACACGATGTGGCGATTAATTAATCTAATTAATTTTTAGAGTCATTGTTGTGTAAAACATCAAACAGACATTACAAAAAGTAGCTTCAGCAATAAATATTTTGTTTGATAACATTTATTACATATACTCTTTTAGACCATGAGGGCGAGTATGATGACACATTTGTCAGTTTTGGGTGGGTGAACTATACCTTTAATACTTTATTTTATTAATTTTATTATTATTACTATGGAAATATGAAATTATTTATTTAATGAAATGATACTCTAAATAATAAACTAAAACTGCCAGTAGGTGGTGGTAAATGTCTTAATGATTAAGTCATCGAGTCATTTATTCATTCGATTCATTCAAAGAGCTGATTCATTCAGGAGTGAAGTAAATGGTTCTTTATGAATGGTCCATTGAATCATTAGGCTTGTTCAACTTGAAGCGGATCACCATCAGACCGATCGGTGTGTGACATCAAAGTATCGCATGAGCTATAGAGAGCAGATGGCTCCTTATGCTTTTGATTCGCTCTCGCGGTATTTTTATGTCATAAACCGATCGGTCTGTACAGCGCCACTTCAAATCCAACGCGCCTATGGCCAATGGTTCAACTCATGTGATATTGCACTTAGCCTATTGCTTGTGTGAAATTGCTTCACTATATGCAGGGGCAGCTCTACGTGGTGGCCAGGGGTGGCACCGCCCCTCCTAAATTTAGCTGGCCAACCCAGGTGCCCCCCCCTACCAGTTATCTTGCGATAGGCTTGTTTTTTAGTATTTATAACTGCATCTGGCAGGGGCGGATCCTGGCATGTGTAGGCAGCTGCCTATGGACGCCTTCTTCTCTTCTTTATACTTGATTTTAGCCAGTTTCTATAGCGTGATCTTAATGACAAATGTCGAGAGCATAATGTTATGCGATCCATGTAATGCACGAGCACGAATCTCCACTCACAAGAGGATTTCCTTCACTCACACAAAACTGGACATGCGCTTTTAAATATACATTGTTCTTTTATGAATTGGCTCTGCTCTTGCTCAGATATTACGTGTACGCTCAAACATTGTCCTCGCATCACTGAAGACCAGAGGAGCTGTTTTTTTCTAATTCAGATGAATAGTAGGCTTTTCTCACTAAATGGAAGCAAGCTGATTAAAGTCAGCCTTCTCAAGTTATGTATTATCATTTAATACTTATTTTAGTTAAGTGCTTAAATTGTAAATACGTATTTATTAAATTATTTAGTGCATTTGTATTTTGTTGTTTTTGTATATAGTTATGCAAAAAAAGAGCAGGGCCGATGCTGGCCAAATGGGTGCCCCAAGCAGAATTGTATTGTTGTGCCCCCTCCCCAAAATATTATGGAAGTTAAAAATTAAAAAAAAAAAAAAACACCTACTATAGGGGTCAAAATAGAACTTTAATAAAATATAAAAGTAAATAACTAACTTGTAATTAAATTGTATTATTTACAAATTACAATTGTAGCTAGACAGTCACCTATGGCTATGATTTTAATAATACAGTTGTCTGATTGATTTTATGGTCTCAAGCGTTCAGAAATCACGCAAAAGAAAATTAAGCAGTTTTACTTCGATAAAACCAAGGATTAGTGTTTGTAAGGGTTGTCCACATTTTTGTTGAAGAAATTATAGAGGCTAGCATTTCTATTGCAAAAAGGTGGCCAAAAATTAAAGATTAAGTGGATATTTGAATTAAATGTTTGGTCAATATTAAACAAGGAATTGATCATCCTGTAAGTGTTACAACAGCAATTACCAGGTCTTTGGTAATTGTAATAATATGTAATATACATAAATTGTTTATTTTGTATTACATTATGTATTTTAACAGTGTTATTCAATGAAACCATACGATTATTATTAATTAACCAATCATTATTGCCTCATTGTTTTTATATAATGCATTTTATGTCATTTTAAAGGTTGTTGTTCGCTTGGGTCTGGTTTTATTACCACTATTATATACGTATATTAAAAGTATTATCTGAATACTTCGTAAATTATTATTTGAAGCGATTTGAAGTATCAAACCCATGGTTAATTTGTGGTTACCATTGCTACAAGAACCATGTTTTTTTTTTATGCGTAGTAAAATTATGGTTAATTTTCGTAAGGGAACATGGGGTTACACTTTACTTGAAGGGGTGTGCATAAGACTGATTTTCGTAGTAAAATTATCATTCATTTTCGTAAGGGAACATGGAAACTCTGAGAGAATATTAAGGCAGATGCGGCGGTGATATTATTACCGACATTAAAACACATTATTAACGTTAACATCCAAAAAAGTTTCACAGGATTATGAACGTACCTAAAAGTGATGAACGGGCTTCATCTTGGGCTTTTTTTCTTTTTATTATCTCGGCGCCGGACTACTGATGTCTTTTCCCGGGCATAGTTGTCCATCAGTTATGATCATTTGCAGTCAGCCGCAAACATGAGGTGAGAGCTGGCGCGGCGTGGATGTGGGAATGGCGCGTCACTTGTGCTTCGCCTGTCTACTGTGTTCACCATAAAACGCTTTTTTTTTTTTTTATTATGTATATATGTTCATGTTTATACTTTTATTTACGTATGTATATGTTAATATTAATATAGAATGAAGGTTTTTTTTTTTTTTGAGCAACTGGGATGGTGCCCCCCTGGGAGTTGGTGCCCTATGCAAACTGCGTACTCTGCGTATAGGGAGCGGCGTTACTGTAAAAGAGTATCAACCAGAAGGTTCCAGAAATAATCAATGAGGGTGCTTCTGAAATTAGTGAGGGTGCTCTAGTTAATGCACATTTTCACATATTTTGTCCCGTCTATTGCTATGGTTATCACTATGCCAATCACTGCTACTTCGAAAGGCAATCCCGCATAAATATGCGGATGTCATTCCCGAAACTTTGCAAAGTGTGTGGGGCCGAAAAAAAGGTTCTACATTTTAAATGGATTATAAGACTAGAAAACTCGCAAAGAGCGCTCTTTATAACCACTAAAAAGCTGTCACTCTTTGTTCATCGCGATCTCACAAAGTTCTGTTATGACCAAAGAATCTCACACTGCACAGTTAATAAATTATTAACAGCGTGTATTCACTGTATGTAGGCGCGGATTAAAGGGGTCATATGATGTTGCTAAAAAGAACATTATTTTGATGAATAATGAAATGTGTTTATGCGGTTTAAGGTTCAAAAATCACATTTTCCACATACCGTCGTACATTGTTGTTTCTCCTCTATGCCCCGCCTTTCTGAAACATGTCGATTTTTACAAAGCTCATCGGTCTGAAAAGCGAGGTGTGCTCTGATTGGCCAGCTATCCAGTGCTTTGTGATTGGCCGAATACCTCAAGCGTGTGACGGAAATGTTACGTTCCTTACCATATTGTGATGCCCTATCCGGCCGGAGCGACATTTGTGATCGAAGAAACGACAAACTACAAACGCTACTCTACACTGCTCAAAACTCGCGTTTGAATCGTCAGTGGCAAGTTCTTTAAATATAAAAAACGTACTTACACTCTGTGAGTCAGAACAGCCGACATTGTAGTCTACTCTACCAGGATCAGGAAACAGTACTCCATAAAATGCGCTGGACACATCGGAATATTTGGGTTGAACTGTTCTGGAACAGTGTTGTAAATACAACTTAACCACTGATTTCTAGTCGTGTCCTCTTTTGGAAGGCCAAACAAAGTAGTTTCGCTTTCACAACGAAACAGCGTAACACACAGCGGGCTAGAGTTAGTGGAGGTTGGAGGCCTAGAGTGAGCAGAGGCCGGCGGCCTAGAGTGAGCGGCGGCGGGCGGGCTTGCGGCAACCACATGTGACGACCC